TCTTGCTTCCACTTAATAGATTTAGGATCAACTTAAATCATGCTGAACATGAAGTTATTAAAGCAAAAGGGAAACAAACCAAATACTAAATCATTCTGAAATTCATGTACACTGCCGTTCAAACGTTTGGGATCAGTAAGATTTTTTTTTAATGTTTTTGAAAAATGCTCACCAAAGCTTCATTTATTTCATAAAAAAAAACTGTAATAAAAGTAATATTCTGATGTATTATTACAATTTAAAGTTTTCTATTTTAATATCTTGGAACAGTAGAGTATATTTTAATTGCAACTGTCCTGCTTTCACAAATGATGTAATATGTAATAAAATCAGATATTTATTCAATGAAAAAATAGAAGCATTTTCACTAGTGTTCTCAGCCTTTTGGACCCTGCTCTATAGTGTAAAATCAGCTCACTTTAAATGTACTCATTGCTTACGTTTCTTTGGGGACTCCTTTAAGAATACAGTTGATTGTGAACATATTTTTTACGCCATTACATGGGTAATAGTTGTCAATTGGCAGAGACGGTTTACAATTCCTGCTTAGCTTTGATGGTTGTCAAAGTGCTTTTATCTTCCAACTTAATTCTACTGTATTTTAATACACTCAAACTATTACCAAGGTCTTTGCTAAAGAAAAAAACACCTGTTGATATAATCATGTCACTTTAGAAATGTTAATAACCCAACTGCTGAGAATTATTTTATTTCTTGTTGATTAAGCCCCCCCCCCCACTTCTCACTTCTCACTTCCACCTCCCTCTCTCCGCCTTCTCCCCTCCCCCGTCCCATCCAGCGGGCCTTAATCCCAAGAGCTAATGACAGGGACACAGAGAGAGGGAGAGAGAGGACTAGGGTTAGCGTGTGGCAGAGGAGGGGAGTTTAACTTGGTGCTGGTTGCCGTGTTATGCAGGAGGACGAGGACTCGCTGCAGATTTGGGCTGGAGGACTGAAAGAGCTGACCACTATGAAGGCAGACGTGTCCCAGTACGTGCTGCCCGCAGACACCGCGCTGCTCCAGGGACAGGTGGAAGAACTTCACAGCCAATGGGAAGA